CCCCCCCCCGGGGGGGTGGGAGCAGCCTTGCTAGGCCACAGAGGAGGACATTGCAGCCAGTCCTGATGAAACCTGATTAAGTTAGGGTCAGATGGAAGGGGAGGAGGACCTCCCCTATCAATGGACTTAGAAAGGGGCAGAGAGGAAAGGAGGAAGGGAAGGTGGGATTGGAAGGGAATGAGGGAGGGGGCTACAGCTGGGATACAAAGTAAATAAACTGTAATCAATATAAAAAATTTAAAAAAAACTGCCCTAAATACATCTATTTAGTCACTGATGTCTTTGCTAACTTTGTGAAACTTTAGCTATTTGGAGAAACTGAGTCATGACAAGAACTATGATGATAATTAATTGTACACCTTTTCATTCTTCTAGGTGTCTCTTTAACCTCACTAGTCTCTCCTCTGTATCCTTTCTGATGAAACAAGCTACTTAGTGTAGAAGATCTGTAGGACTGATTTAGATTTTATAAAAATGCACTAAGGAGATGAGACGAGTGATGTTCCCAGTTCTTGCACGGACTGTATTTACATTTAATGATTATTTTGAGATGAAAGAAGCATAAATCATTTTCATTTATTAAGTCACAAACTTATTGGGGGTTGTTCTGATGCTTGTATTTTGATGCTAATTACTGGCCCTCAAGATCTGGTTACTGCTTGGATACACCTATCCTTGTGTAAAGCTACCTAAGACATTATTTCTCATTGGTTGATTAAAAGGCCTAAAACCTGGGCAGGGCAGAATGGAGTAGGCCAGGGTAGGGTTCCCAGGCTTTGGGGACAGGAGGATCATGGGAAAAACAGAGGAGACAGGTGGGAAGAGAGAAGGAAGAAGGAGAGCATAAAGAGTTAGGGTGGAGTTGCAGTGGAGAAGGAACCACATGGGCCAGGAGAAAGGACTCCAAGGATGGTGTGGATGGACAAAATACCAAGATGGAAAATATAAGTATTTACAGGACTATGGATGAAAGGTAGCCCAGGTAAGAATGGTTAAGCTGGATGGCATTAGGTGGGGGCTTGGAGCTGGATGATAAGGTTATTGAGATAGCATAGGTGTAAATATCTGCCCAGCCCAAGGGAAATAGGACAATTATAAAATCTAACCAGGGGCTGGAGAGATGGCTCAGCCATGAAAGGCTAGGCTCACAAGAAAAATAAAGTCTAACCGGTGTCTGTGTCTTAATGAGACAGCAGGTTCAATAATACTGCTGTAACAATTTTAGGGCTAATAATAAACATTCCTGAGCTCAATACCATTTTTATTTCCAGCAATACAAACTTATGACTAATTTATTGTATTTGTGACAACAAAAGTAATTAAGACATAATAGTTAATGATGAGTCACAATATTAATGACTAAATATACCTACTGTGCCAAATATTGTATTTGTAATCATGCTAAATACAAATGTAATTCACTTACAGAGACAATGTTAGAGGGAAAGACTATATTATCCATTATACAGTCTTCTGTGCATCTTATTATCCTTAACCATAAAGCAGAAAACTCAAATTTTAGGACAACTTAAAGTTTCCTTAATATGGAAACGTTCCTTAATCTGAAATATTAAAACTCATGTGAACTTAAAAAACTGGTTACTGAAAAAGAAAGCTTGAGTAAAAAGGATTAAAAGCTACACTACAGTTTCATGGCAGGACACACCTAGGATCAAACAGCACACATTGGAGGGTAGCCCCAGTGGGACACAGACCTATCAGGGTAACTGCCATGCTAGCTCATCATAGGATAAGGAAGCAGGGGAACAGGACTTGCTAGCATCTACTGCTTCTGTCTTTCTAGCTTATAAGACAAACTAGGAACTCCTAGTCCTTAACTTTAGGAAAAAACGAATTACTCCTCATGTCTCTCAAGGCAGAGGGGTGGATTCTCTCTGCTGAGGAGGATCTTAGACTCTGCACACACAGCCTAAATGTCTCAAGCAATTGCAGTCACTCTATATTCCACGACCCCTGAACTTACAGCTGTGGATGATGCAAACAGGGGAACCTTGTGCCTGAGCCTGCCACCCAAATGGTACAGGAACTACATGCTAGTTCGAATGGCCATGCCTGTCCACTGGCTTTGACTTTTCCTCCTCTTAACAACGCTAATCCCTGAGCTGAGAGGTCAAAGCCTGATTCTGTAAGCAGTCCTCAGCAAAGTGTGAGACCCTGTCACAGGACCAGTCAGCACAGCAGGCTGAACTATGGGCACTCATTTCAGCTAAGCTGCACGTGCCACCTGTGGACCCACCACAGTCAGGAACAGAAAGCAATAAAGCCTGGGGAGGAGATGTGGACTGTGAAAGGTCACTGAGCGCAGTCTCTCTGAGTCTACTTCCAAGGACAACAGGGATGTTCTTCAACCTGGTTCCCATTTCAACAGGAAGCCAATGAACCTTGACACACATGGAGGAAGTTTGCAGAATTCAACAGGAGACCTTGAGAAGAAGGGACCATGAGATCTCTTCCTCCCATTGGACTCATGTAATATAGCCTGAATGTTTCCTATGGGGCTTGCTGAACTGGCTACCCATGACTAGATTTCCTTAAGAAAGATGAAGAGTCTTTGTGAAATTCGTCTACTTAATGGCCCAATACATACCTTTATAACATAAGTGAATGTTTTGATTCCTTGTTAAAACCAATAAGAAATCAACTTCCCAAATTGACTCTCGTTTGTCTCACTTTTATCCAACTGCTCCCCACCGCTAATCTTCTAATCAACAGAACAGAAACTGTTGAGCCTTCTGCTCCTGCCTGCCTCTGTGTGATGGAATTGTGGGTTTGGCTTTATAAACCCAGTCATGTGCACCTCGCTGTACAGATCTTTCTGGCATGAGCTGAACCTGCTCTCAACTCCAACAAATAAATGACTCTCAAGTCTGACCAGCACTGAGTTGCATTTCCTTGAGTCTTCCTTTACAATGGAGACCCAATAAAAAGAAAAACAAAACCATAAAACCTTGGAAGTCACTGAATATAACTACAGTTTACCACTTAGAAAATACGAAGCCTAAGAGACTTAAATGATCATAAAAGTCTGAGAGACTTTTTTGCTTCTTTGACAATACCGACAAGATGCAGAGACCTGAAGAATGACAACATCATGTTTCAATGCATGTGGGAAAGCCTGCTTTTCTGTTTGGACTTCAACTCTGTCCTCTGACCTTCTCTTTCCTACCCACCCGGATGCACGGTAGCTGCTGCTTGTCTCTTCACATCCAAAGGCCCTTGTCTTTGCTCCAGAAATGTCACGAGGTGTGGCTTAGAGGCAGCAAGACCTGTTTGTAGGAAAAGAGAACAAGATTGTTTACGGGTTCTCCTCCTGGGAATTGACATGACCCTTCCAGTACAATATGTATATGGAAAAAGATAACGCAATAAATGATTGCAGACAATTAGTTCCTGACATGTTTTCTGACCAGATTATTACAACATGTGAAGAAATTTATATGGTCCAGATTCTGAGTTTCAATTACAGGGACAAAAACATTTAAACAGAATTGTGAAAAATTTTCATTAACATGCGAGCTCCATGCCTCATGTCATTAAATTGCTAACAATCCCACAAGAGTGAAAGATTCATGCTCCCAACAGACAGGGTAAACTCACAAACTAAGGAACAATGAAATGCTTATTAGCTATACAGCAACTTGCCTCATTTTTCTTAAAATGAAGAATACGAAGCTCGTTGTTGAAAGCACAATCTCTGATGAGATATTGTAGAATGTGGGGAAGCTACATGTTTAGGGTGAAATAAAACTTCACTATAGAATCAGTCCTCACCCAGGAATACAAGGTTGCTGTAGTTCTCCAACATCACGTCCCTGTACAAATTCCACTGAGCAGGCTCCAGGCATTCCTTCTCTTCTGGAGAGAAATCAATGGCCACATCCCAGAAGGACAGCACTTCCTGAAATAAACACTAGTGAATGAAATCACACTTTTAGTTAATTTAACGACTAATAATCATAGAAATACCAAGAAGCACTGGGCTTTATATTTCTCTTGTCAATTTGACACTAGCTAGGGTCATTTGAGAAGAGAGAAGCAAATTGAGAAAATGTCTCCAGGAGACTGTCCTGTAGCCAAGCCTGCGGCGCATTTTCTAAATTAGTGACTGATATAAGATATTACAGTATATTATGGGTGGTGCCAGCCCTAGACAGGTGGTTCTATGTGGTATAGGATAGAAGGCTGAGCAAGCCATGGAAAGCAAGCCAGTACGGAGTGTTCCTCTGTGACCCCTGCCCTGTTCCTGCCTCCATGTTCCTGCCTTGACTCCCTCAGAGATGAACTGTTACCTCAAGTTGTCAGCTGAAATGAACCCTTTCTCCTCCAAGTTGCCTTTCCTCATGGTCTGTATCGCAGCAGAAGGAACCCTAACACAGGCAACATTTGGTTGTGGATACAAATCTAGATTTGCCAGCATGAAAGAGAGCTAGAAGTCTTTCTGACATCAGTGAGTAATATTCCTCAGACACATCATAGGAGCTCACACAATCTCACACTGGACCCATCTTCAAGGAAGACAAGGAAAAAGTTCCTATACCACCATGTGGACACTATACATTGAGACAGATGAAATGTAAAATGAACACATCCACAGAGGAATACACATTTAATGCTATATGCTTGTATTACACACCAAGCATATGCACATTTCTCACAGGACAAAGTCATCATGAGGGACAAGGTACCTGTCCACACTAATGTGCCTAATCATAATTGAGAAGTGAACTGAAATACAGATTCTGATGCAGTGGCTCTGGCTGTCATCTGGGTTTCTAGATTTGTACAGAGGTCAGTAGTGACACAAAGGACAGTGACAAGGGACAGCAGATGAAACAGGCAAGGAGTACAACAATTATGGAAGAACTCACAGAGAAAATATCATTTAAGTATCTAAACAAATCAAAAACTCAGCAAATAAAGTACTAACAACGTTTTATTTAAATTTAAATGCTGTAATTTAAAATACAAAATACAACAGCCATTAGCTCTGGTCTTTTTATCATTTCCATATTTCATGCTTCCTCTGACCTATTTATTGAAACTTGGATATTCCTAAAGCATGTTTTACACATATGACACTCAAATAATGGTGTGTTATAGATAAAAAATGTAATTGTTACAGGACTTTTGGTACAAATGAAATATATCCTCCGTAAAGAATGACTCTTTAAATTAACGACAGAGTTAAGTGCCAACAAGGAAGCCAACAGAGTCACAGAGAGAATGAAGAAAATTGGCAAAGAGAACACCCACTAACTTCTCAAGAGGAAAGCAACTGTATTGGCCTGAATGCTTCAAGGCAGCAAGTACAATATAGAACCAATTTACCAGGAAATGGAAAAAAACAAGAACAAAATAACCAATTCACTCTTTTTTGCCTATGAGATTGTCAACAGCAGGGGTAATGTGGAAAATGGCAAGAGCCCGGTGCAGAGTGAAGTTGGAAACATTATTCTCTGAGAGAACCTGACAGAAGTAGCCATAGGTAATTCAGGACATCACAGAGAGAGTGGGGATTGAGAAATCACAGGTTAAAAGAAAGAGACAGAAAACTTAGGATACTTTCGCGAAGGCTATCAGTCAGTACTGAAAGCACCAAGTTTAATCCATAGGTACTTTTTAAAGACAAAGCAAAACAATTCACCTCGGTACAAGGACGGTCAAACTTGTCTGCAAAGCCACATTCCTGTATGGCAGACATGGCCCAAGGTCTCACAGACAAGTTAAAGAAACTTGGCAAAACCTCCTGCTTATTTCTGTCTCAGGGTAAAGGCTAAAACATGTTTTTCACTGAATACTCTATAACAAAGCACCTTGCCCAGCAAGCAACTGTTCACAAGCTTGAGAAAGAACTTTTGTTTCCCACAAGAATTAGGGCAGGTCAGCAATGGAGAATTAACTGCAAGAATTACTCTCTGTGTTGCCAAACACAGGGTACCACTGCTCTGCATGGGAAAGTGAGTCTACTCTCTTGGGGTCAATCTCCTTGAGATGCTGTGGGTGGTGGGTGGTAGGTCTGTGAACAGAGTCCTCTGGTAGGGACTTAAGCCAATACAATTACTGGAAAACATTTCATGGGAACCTGAGACTGGAAAATTGACTTTCTATGGAGAAGAAATGCAAATAAGCTCGTCGTGAGGCAGGCAAAGTGCCACTCATTAGTAATTGGCACATATGCTTATTGTAATTGGGAGGTAGATATCTGTTCTTGGCAAGAATGGAGGCTGGTCCCAGAAGCAAGCCTAGGGCAACAGAATGGACAGGGAAGAAGTTAAAAGACATCTTGCATCTTCTGTCAGTGTCCCTCAGGGATATCTTTTCAAAGTGTCAGACAAAATTGAAAGTTAGCAGGCGATTGGTGTGCATCAAAGCACCCAAAGTGAAGTGTGTGCAAAAAATCTCATCCATCTGATTTAATTGTTTTATAGATACAGGAAAGAAGAAAAAAAATGGAAGGTAGATTTTGAACAGCTGGTCAAGCAACAAGATACACCTTTCAACAAAAAATGTTACCTTATTTGAGTAACTATGGAGGACACCATCACAGAAACTCTTATAACCTGAAATGACAATGTAATGAGAATCTGTGCTGCTCAGGTTTATTCCTTGCATATGTGTTTGACTAACGATCAAGTCTTTTGAATTTCCCTGTATGGCCTGTGACATACTCACATACATCAGCAGGAATTGAATGTCAACACCCCGCTCACCCCCTCTCCAGAGTTCAAGATCAAACATGGCTAACCTTGCAAGGATCATGCCTGAGACGTAAAGACAAGTAACTGCTCCCCTTATATTAACACTAGAATTCAATGAAGAAGCTGGGAGCAAAGAGAGGACCACATACCACAGGGAACTGGACACACACCTGTGCAAGAGGAAGGAATCCCACACACTAGCAGTTTGCTTTACTGAGTGGAGATGGCAGTACGATGTGAGGGACAGTGGGGGAAGTGGTTTTGTCCTGGCAAAGGGTAAGAATCATCTGCTCACAGCTGAACAGGGACAAGGAAGGCATCCCAAATGCAGCTGCAGAATAGACACACCAGGTATGTGGACCATAGTGGCCTGCACTAGTCAATAACTGCAGAAAAAGAATGAAGAAATAATGAAGATATTTCTTAGATATGAAAGGAGCAAACTGGAAGAATTCAGTGAAGACCAAAAGAAAGCATCATGAGGTCATGAAAAGAATAATACGTATGACTATTCAAAAGTAATGAATATTCGGTTGAAGTACTTCAAGCAAGGGAAAGAGAATTCTTCCTCATACAGCAATCCAAACAAGTATCTAATAACCAGAATTTAATGTCTTAACACAGCATGTTAATGTTTAAATTACACAAGGAATGGGACAACAAAAGTTAAGAACACATAGATTTTAAGTCAGCAAATTACTGATCGCATGAAATTGTCTTATGCTCACTATAAGAAACATGAAGTGACCCACAGAAAGTATTTCTCATGTCCATCAAGTATGTTCAAGTGTTTTCTGACACAGACTCTGGTAGCCTCGGATGCTATGAGGCAGGGAAGGACCAGATGGGCCTGTCTCCCCCTCACAGATGCAAAGATGACAGAGATGTTCCTCAGATTAGGCTGCAGTTTCTATCACAGCTCTGGTACATTAAATCACGTGACCACACACAGGCCTGTGAGCTCCTCCTCATCCTGCTGACATGACACAAAAGCCCCAAACCTTCAAAAATACCATGTGAACAATTCACCTGCTCCTAGGGCCCTGCTCATGGACCAGCTCAACAATTTCAAGGCCAGACCAAGACCAAATGACACTCCTTGGGTGGTGCATGCCTCCAATTCCTGCACTGGGGAGGCAGAGGCAGGAGCTTCTCTGTGAGTTCCAGGCCAGCCCTGTCTACCAAGCAAGTTCCAGGACAGCAAAGAGAAATCCTGTGTCCAAAAAACATAAAAAGAACAAGAAAAATACATGCTGACACACCTAATGTGCGCCAACCAGACATTCTTCTTTACAATTACTCAACTCTCAATTAAGGAGAGAGGCCTTTTCTAAGGTGAAGCTGGGTTCACATTCCCCAGCAGAGGGCCTCGGTGTGTATGGGCTCCAAGCAAGTTCTCCCCTAACACAGCAGTTCAGTGAGCTCCCAGCCCCTCCTCAGGAGCAGGCAGTCATGTGACCGTCTTTAGCTGCTAATCCCGGACCTGGCACTGTTATCTACCCCACCACTACCGGGCAGCTCTGCTGTCCAGAAGCCCAAGGCGGGCTCCAGCTGCACGCGGCGGATGAGGAAAGCGTCACTCAGGGAACAATCCCAACCGTCCTGTTCCCAGCCCTGACCTGCCCTCTCAGGTGTCCCAGCCAGTTCAGCCCAGCACCCCAGCAGCTTCTTCTGCCCGCCCATCCAGTCCAGGTCTGCTCCCTCCAAGACCCACCCCGCACCCCGCACCCCGCACAGTGCCTCAGGCTGCGCTGCTACCTGGACCGACCTCCATGTCAGAGACGCGACGGGAAAGTACAGCAGCACAGGACTACAGGACTCTTGTCTAACTTTGAGGAAGACGCACGTGTGTAGACCAAAAGCCAGATAGGGATTTCCTGGACAACTGTGACGTCACAATAGCCCGACTACATTTCCCAGAAGTCAGTGCGAAGAAATTCTCCTAACCCAGGTGGGGCCAGTTCTACTGTTCCCGGATTGGACCCTGGCAACAGGCTGTAGATGCTGGCAGGAGAAAGCCTGGGCTGCAGGAATCGCCATGGGGAGTCAGACTGCTTTTTACCTCCACATCCACACAGCAGATGAAGGAATGTGAGTCGACACCCTGACAGAAATATTAGGCTTACGAGTAATTTCTGGTCCCTATGTTGTGATGTTATCTTACTTCAGCCCGAAAAAGGACGCTGACTCACTTGTCCTTTAAGGAAGTAATCCACTGATGTGGGAATGAAAGCTATCTTAAGATTCATTAATGTCTTCCATGTCCCAGTGTCTCTTGATGCCTCCTTGCTCCTCGTGCTCACTCAGAATGTCCTTGAGGTGGCATCAAAACCCTGACACACTCACATAATATTTGCCCAGCACCATAGCTAGCAGCCTTTCAACTTTAGCACACTTGACAACGTTTTGAAATCATTGTCCATCTGTCATCTCAACAACAGCTCTGATTGCTGCGAAACACCCAGTATGTTCTGGTTTCTCTCACTTGTACTGAGGAGGTCACAAGGATTTGCTGGGTGTTTCCTAAGTGTCCCATTACCTTAAAGAACCCAGTGCAAGGTGGGCTCACATCCTGAGGTAAGGGAGGCAGGACATGTGTCCATGTCCTGTTTTGGCTGCAGGAGCCTCCTGAGCAAGACCCTCAGGTTGGCAAGAGCAGAGCTTCTAGCCTGTACTTGTTTGCCTCTCTGAGACCTCAGACACCAGAAAACCTAACCAGCCATGGAGGCCAGGGCCCAGCCTCACTGTGGCCAGAGGGTGTGGGTCCACATTTTCCTCCTTAGAGGCCCTTTACGTATGTGGCTGTCAAGTTAGAGAAGCCTTACTGGGTCCTAGTTCCTGCTTTCTCTGTTAGGTATCTAGGCCTGTTTCCTGTGTGAGAGGACATCCTCTCTGTCCCTGAGATTCCTTTGCCTTATATGATCTGCCTAGCTTTCTGCTCCAACAAGCCTGTATACAGGTTAAATGGCATGTATGTAAGGGTGCTAATTTATTAAATTACCCTCCATGTGTAATTTGGATTCAACCATCTTTTAGCATAATGCTTTATAATATCTTCATCACAAAACAAGTGCCATCTTCAAACTCCAGCTGTGTCCACTTATATGTTCACAGCAGAACTTGCTTAATGTTAAATGCCATCAGTAAAGATGGACACAGTCATTGGATGGCCACCAGAGTATCCATTCACTCCTCCAGTGAGGATTATTAAATTCAGACCTAACTGCATAAGTCTCACTGTATCCAGAGGCTGTGGGACCATGTTTTCCCCATTATAGGGCACTGTTGTAAATAACAAAAAGAGAGTGTGGGGCTATTATTTGTGGTGGTGGTATTTAACCTGCTATCACAATAACAAGACAAGACACCTGTTAGATTTTATAATTGTCTTATTACCGTGGCTGGGCAGATATTTCTATCTCTGCTGTCTCAATAATACCACCATCCATTTCTCCCAGCCCCCATCCAATATCATTTGCCTTAACTGTCCTCATCTGGTTTATCTTTCCTAATCCCAAGATATTTGCTTATATTTTTCATCTTAGTGTTTTCTCATCCATGCCATCTTTAGAGTTCTTCCTCCCAGCCCATGTGGTTCCTTCTCCATGCCAACCCATCCTGGCATTCTTCTGCCTCTCCCTTTGTCAGTCTTCTCCCAGTGATTCTTCTGTCCTCAAAAGCCCTGGAACCTTAGCCACCCCTACCCCATTCTGCCCTGCCCAGATATAGGCTGTTTAATCAACCAGTCAGGTAGGTTTATACAAGGATAGGTGTGCCCAGATCTTGAGGGCCAGTGACAAGCATGAGACAACCTCCAACAGGGCACCTTACCTGTGTGGCTTTCAAGCTAGAGAAACTTTACTGGGTCCTAATGCCTGCTCTCTCTCTGTGTATGTATATATGTAAATGAAACATTCCCAATGTTCATCTCAACATAGTATTTCAATAAACATAAAAAACTAAGATGAATGTTACCAAATGAAAAGGATTTTTTTTTTAAAGGAGATGTAATAACAAATGAATGTGTATCCTAGTATGTTCACTCTGGTACCAGTAATTTAAAAGAAATTCCAGGAAATTATTAAATAATATTAAACACTATTAGAAGCACATAATTAGTAAAATAAACTTTACCTCATGTACTTTTATAACCAATGTATTATGTGACGCATGACTAACAATAATATTAGAATTAGCATCAAATGATTGAAAAGCAACCATTTATTAGAGAAATGAGCTCTAAATGTGTGTGTTAGGATGTTTTGTTGACCGGTTGATAATGATAAGTCAATTATTTTGAAATTACCTTCTATTTCAGCAATTCCCTTTTATTCTCAAATTTCTTCTGAAAACATGTTGCAAGAATTCTTTCAGAGATAAAGTTCATGATATACTTCAGCCTATGTCAATGACTACCAAAGTGTGTGTACTCTAAGGCTGTAGAGTTTCTGTAGTAAATTATTGTTAGAATTTGACATAAAATAAAAAACTCAAAAGGGCATAACTTTATTTCTATAAAGCAAGATATAAAAGTAAAAATGATAAGTAGATGAATAATTATGAAACATAAAAGATAATATATTATAAATTACCTGAAGCACGTTAACATTAGGAAAGACTAACTATCCCACTAATCCCCAACAGTGTATAATTAAAATGTTAGCTAGATCCTTTGTGGTCTGGTTTGATTCTCTGTTGCTTTGATAAACCCCATGACCAAAAATCAACTTGGGGAAGAAAGAGTGTATTTCATCTTACACATTACACCCCACCACTGAAGGAATCCAAGGCAGGAACTGAAGGCAGGAACCTGAGCAATGTCATGGAGGCTTGCTGTTTACTGGCTTATTCCCAGTCTCATTTCCAGTTACCTTTCTTATATGGTCCTGGGCCACAGCCTAGGGATGGTACTGTCCACAGGGGCCTGGACACTTCTACATTAATTTTTCTAAAAAATATGTAACCGTCATATTTTCTAGGCCAATCTGATAGAGCTGATTCTTCAGGTGAGGTTTCCTCTTCCTAGATGTGTCAGGTGGACAGCGAAGATTAGCCTCCACACCTTACTAAGGTAGATATTTTAATGTTTGTGGCAGAACTTAATTATATACAGAGCAGTGACAATGCATTAAGAACTGCTTATTGTTATTTACAAAAGTCACTAAACTTCATATTCCAATAATGTATTCTATGGTCTCTGGGAAAAAATAGACTCCGACATCTCAGGACACACTCCTGTTCTTCTGATGAAATCATCAGTAGTTGTATTCTTTTCACTTTTCAAAATTAAACTTATGTTCTAATTTCAATTTATAACGTATTGATGTTTTCACAGACTTGAGTTATCTACATGATTCCAAAGTCTGTAATGATTTTCTTCTCTCACACCAAACAGTATCCTATGAATTATAAGCATCATTTGATGCTTTGCTAAATAGTGTACTGTTCATGGAACTTGTCTCATGATAATTCCCTTATGTCTCTTAAGGTCTACATGACAAGCAAAGACTTGCCACACCAATTACAGAGTGCTTTTTACTATAACAGATTACTTTTCTCTGTTTTATATATGTGGCAGAGTCATCATGTCCGTATAAAGTTCAATTGGAATTCACTCATGGTTAAAGAGGATTTCTCACATTACTTGCATTTGTACAGTTTCTCTAAAATGCACAAATTTTTGATGTTGCACAAGTATAGACTGCTGAACACAGTCATCTTCTTCACCATTATTAGACCTCTCAAGTATGTAATGGTGGATGTTGAATAAGGGTTGAACTGTTATTAAAGATCTTCCCTTATTCCTTTCATTTCTAAGGTTTCTCTCACATATGAATTCCTTAGTGTTTAATTATCAAAAAACAATTATTACAGACTTTGCAACTTTGTCTGTACTAATCTGGATTTTCTCTAGTGTGAATTCTGTAGTGTCTAGTAAAGCCTGAACAATTTTTAAAGGCTTTGCCACATTGTTCACATTTGTATGGCTTCTCTCCAGTATGGAGTCTCCAATGATGTTTAAGATTTGAAGAAGAATTAAAGGCCTTGCCGCATTCTTCACATTTGTAGGGTTTCTCTCCAGTGTGAATTCTTTCATGTTGAGCAAGACTTGAAGTATAATTGAAAGCTTTGCCACAGTCTTTGCATTTGTAGGGTTTTTCTCCAGTATGAATTCTTTGGTGTTGAATTAGATTATAACAATTATTAAAGGCTTTTTCACATTCTTTGCATTTATAGGGTTTTTCTCCACTATGTATTCGCTGGTGTTTCATAAATGTTGAACAAATGCTAAAGGCTTTCCCACACTCATCACACTTATATGGTTTCTCTCCAGTATGAATTCTCTGGTGGTAAATAAGGTTTACAGAACAGTAAAAGGCCTTGCCACATTCCTTGCATTTGTAGGGTTTCATGCCAGTATGGATTCGCCGATGCTTATACAGATAAGAAGAACAGCTAAAGGCCTGCCCACAGTCATCGCATTTATAAAGTTTCTCTCCTCTATGAATTTGTTGATGTTGATGAAGGCTGGAAGAACAGTTAAAAGCTTTGCCACATTCTTTGCATTTGTAGGGTTTCTCTCCAGTGTGGATCCTCTGGTGCTTAGAAAGAATGCAGCGGACATTAAAGGCCATGCCGCATTCTTCACACTTGTATGGTTTCTCTCCAGTGTGGATTCTCTGGTGTTTAGAGAGTGTTGAGTGAACATTAAAAGTCTTTCCACATTCATCACATTTGTATGGTTTCTCTCCAGTATGGATTCTTTGATGTTTAGAGAGGGTTGTACGGACAGTAAAGGCCTTGCCACATACTTCACATTTGTAGGGTTTCTCTCCAGTATGAACTCTCCGGTGAACAATAAGGCCTGAACAATTAGTAAAAGGTTTGCCACACTCTTCACATCTGTAGCGCTTCTCTCCAGTATGGATTCTTTGGTGCTTACCCAGATAGGAAGAACAGTTAAAAGCTTTGCCACACATTTCACATTTGTAGGGTTTCTCTCCAGTGTGGATTCTTTGGTGCTGTTTAAGGCTGGAAGAATAGTTAAAAGATTTGCCACATTCTTCACATGCATAGGGTCTCTCTCCAGTGTGAATTCTTTGATGTTGAATAAGGACTGAGTTCCTATCAAAGGCCTTCCCACAGTCTTTACATTTGTGGGGTTTTGATCCTGTTGAAAAAGCATTGAAGCAAAGAACTACACTTTATACTGCTCATTTTAAATATGAATACTTAAAAATCGTGACTAGATGTTGACACATAAATGAGCATCAATCACATAAATGTGAAACTATAGACATTTGCACACCTACTTTCCCAGTAGCCTCATTAAAGGAACACAGGTATAAACAACATAACCCACTGAGAGTATAAAGACAGTGGACAAATAATGGAAAACTACTAATGTCAAATTGCTAAACTTGATATGTAACACCTAATTTAAAAATTCTGAAAGGGCATTGTAGTAAATGAAATAAGCTCATTATTTAAAGATTGGATTGCTGGGCTTACAGGAAAACTCAATGTTGGAAAACATGTCAAACATGGAGCAAATGGTGATTATGATACATTGGGTGGAGGTAGAAACACAAATTTTTTTT